CTAATCTAAACGATTGCTCACTTCTTTGGAGCTAGGCAACTCGGTTTAGAAATATCATTTTTATTTTTTATATTGGTATATTGCCGAGTACCAAGATAAACATAGCTCGGACTAAAGGCTTATTTAGATGTTTGCTCAATCTCGCATCTTGCTAGACTTTAGTTTTGAGAAATTTTTCTTGTTACCTCTGAGATCATTTGTCCTGTAAATAGAGCCAAAATATGCTCAAGAGCAACACGAAACTAATCAAAGAAGAAGAAAAAAAAAACAGTGCACTTGAGGTCGTGCTTGCTTTAAATATGAGATTGCCAGAAAGCATTCTGTTCCGTTTTCATCTTCACTGCCTCCCATCCCTTTTGGGAGCAAAGCAGCTCCCATACATTTCAAATAAGTTTATTTATCTGTTTGGTCATTTCCCTTAGCTGTGTAATAATGTTCTGGAAGAACTTGACTACACTAGACAATGGGATCGGAACCTAGGCAAAGCCAGGCAGAATGACAGGTGACTGAAGCAGGTCCACTAAGTCACAGCTCCTTCCTGGTAAAGAGCCTGTGGGGACATGCGCTCTTCCTGTGACATAACTGCTGTCAGCTACGGCTTTCATCAGAGGAAGGCGGCTAGCCAAGAAAAACCCAGATTTCTTTCTTCTCATCTCTCCTTGAATCTCCCTGGAAGCCACACTGAGTCTCCGCTGTTCCCGTCCATCGAGTCTGTGGTTTCCTGACCTGCCTCTGCATCCACCCTGCCTGCGCCAGTCCATTCCTAGCGTGCTGGTCTTGAGGTGCAAACATGATTGTGCCATTATCTTCCTCCCACAGAACAGTCCCACTCTGTTAGGAGAAAGTGCAGTTTGCACAGGGTAGGGCCAGCCTCCCTCCCCCAGCTCACCCATCACCGTTCTCCCATCCCATCTCGTGGTCCAGCTTCACTTACCTCTTCCTGAAACCTCAAAAGCTCTATGCTCCACTTGCCTCGCTCCCAGCTGGGTTCCTTTATTGCAGCATCTCATACAACTGTACATATTGCTTTCTTACAAAGTCCTCTTTGTTTGTAATGAAGTGTTCTCCATCTCTGTGATTATTGTAGGACCCAGCAGAGAAGAAAACCTGTCTTCTACCAGCACCAAACACCAGGGTATGGTGAAATTGGTACAGTTGAGCAGTCACGCTTAGGTTATCAACTATTAATATCGTCACATCACAAACTGGTTATGCTTGAGTCTTTGCCACCAAGGACCCACACTGAACCTCCTGAGGAAATGCCTGTTAGAGCAGTGCAGTCAATGGCCATTAAATTCTATTAACTCTGCAAATTGCCTTGGCCTAAAGTCTGTCTCAGTAGCTGGTCCTGTTGTCTTTTGTCTTTGAGTCAGAGTTCCCAGTACCACAACAAACAACAGCAACAGCAAACAATAAACCAAAAGGAGAGGACTTTAAACTGGTGTGGTGGTCTGTAACTCTAGTTCCAGCCCTTGTGGGGAAGAGGCAGGAGGATCTCTGTGAGTTCAAGGTACACATGGAGAAATCCCCACCATCCAAGGCACACTGTGACAAATTACCGGACATGGCTGACTTAGCAACTATTAGTCTGCCTGGACGTTGTGGACTCCAATCGTTCTGTGATGACAAGATCCATGCACGCTTGATTGAAAACTAATGACTTGGGCAGAGCCATAAGTAGTTCATTCTTAAATGCCAGCTTGGTCTTCGGAGGCTGACAGTTCTGCAGATCCTGTGGGATGCTTCCTGAGAACTCAGCTCTGCATGGGCTCCCACTGCCAAACCTGTCTTTAGTTGAGAGAGGTGGGGATGGATGGGCTTCCTGTCATCTTCCTGCCCTGGCTCACAAGGTGACTGACCATGGGCTACTGCCAGTTCTCTGTGAGTCACAGCAAGTGACATGAATAGTTGCCCTCCTCCCAAAGGTGTAGCGGAACCATCTCCCCAAGGGCCTCCCACTACCTGACAGGCACATGCTCTCCGGGACAAACCAGATGCCATGTAGGCAGGCTTCCTCTGAGAGGCTCAGGCAGAACGGAGTTATGGGTTCACTGAAGGAGATAGGAACTTGGAGGAGAGAATGAACACAGTTGCTGGGCCAGGTACAAGTCTGAGCAGGATGGCGGGCAGTTCTCATCTGACTCTGGGCGGTGAATGCCTCCGAGACGCCTTGGTCCTCAAGCCAGAGCAGGGCTGAGTCATGGGGTGAGGTGATGAGCAGTCCCACTGAGAAGTGTGAGGTAAAGGTACTAGACCTTTCTATCTGAGTGTCTGAGCCGTTTGCCTCCTCATCTGGGTTGTTTCCTTATCTGAGTGTGCTGCTCTGCAGGGGAAGCTGATTCTCATCGCCTCCTGCAGCCTGCTAGGCTTTCTGGACCCCCTTGCAAACTACTCAGGAGGTCTGGCAGTTATGTGGGGGATCTGAGCCTTTCACAGGCTCTGCAGCAGATTCTGAATTGCATCAGGATTGAAAGCCTAGGTGACCCAACTCCAAAGGCGCTTCCAACTCAAGCATTCCTCTGTCTACAGTGTACTGAGATAGGCTTGAGAATACATGGAAGATTAGCCTTCGCGCGGGTGAGTCACGCACTTCCGGTGAGTGAGTCACGCACTTCCGGTTGCGTTTGCTTGTTCCATTCCAGGGAGTCACCAGCTGAGGATGAGCTTATGTAAGACTGGGTCTCTGGGTCACCAAGACAGTGAGTGTCTCCTCCCACGTTTGCTGTTCACGTCACCCAATGGTTACAGACTAGGGGCTTGAAGGACAAACCAGGCAGGTCACACGAGTCTCGGAGTCTCCCGGAGCCAGACAGGCACTTGCCTTCCAGTTCCCTGCGGACTTACCACACTGTCTGTCTCACAGCCCACCCCGACCTCTGTGTGGCTTGCCTGAACTGGATTTCACTAAGCACACAGCCCAGAGCTTCTCACACAGCCCGGAGCTTCTCACACAGCCCGGAGCTTCTCCCAGGAAGCACTCGAATGCGCAGGTCTGGAGCTCAGAAGACAGGTTTGGCTACAGATGGGAACTGAGAGAGGCAGTGACTCAGATCACCTCTTAGACCCTTCCAGTCCCTCAACTCAGCCTTTTCAGCACCCGACTCACTTTTCTTCCTTGCCAGCACCAAGCATCGCCACCATTCCCTCCTGCCACAAATGGAGCCATCAGTCCCTTGCCGAAGCCTGGAGACTACTGTTTCAGGAGCCTTCTCCCTCATTCTGCGACTAGAAGTTCTGAAAAAAAAAAAAAGTTCATCAGACCATTTCCCATCTTATCTGTGGTCACTGGTTCAAGCCACCAGCATCTTTGCCAGGAGGGAAGAGTTGCCTTGCTGCTTTCTCTCCAGGCACTATTGTCTCCCCTGGAACCCACTGTTCCATTCGAAACGATTGACCATTTCACTAAACAATCCCCATCTTGCCTCTCCCTTGCATACACGCACTTCCTTCTCATTGCCTGGGATAAAGGCCAAGCTCATTTACAAAACCCTTCCCAGTCTCCTTTGGAGCCTGTGTTCCAGATGATGGGAGCTTCTCCTGTCTCCACCAAGAGCTTTTCTCTCTCTGGCCTCTGGTGTGAGCTGGTTCCCTCAGAGGGCTTTTCTTTCTGTTGGTCACTTGGGTGACTCCTGTATCTTTTTAACATCTCATTTTAAGCCATCACATCTCTGAAAACTATCCCTGTTTCCCAAGATTAAGTAGGCTGCCTTGTTTTGACCTGGCAGAACCCCTGGACTTAGCCTGACTTTATCACATTTGATACAATTGAGTTTATCACATCCACACTGGGATTGAATCAGTGATTTTTTGCTTGAGATCGACAGTGTATGTAGAAGGGCCTTCACTTTCCAGCTCGTTTGCCTTTTCCTCTTCCTCATCAAGGACGTGCTGGGGATGTGGAAGATGGAGAGAAAATGCATGGGAAAGAAGGAGGTAAGAATAGGAGGGAAAAGCATGGCTTTCTTCTGCAACCAAAGGGACTGCGCTAACATTGGGCCAAGGGAAAGGTAGTAGCCTATAGAAAGGCTTTATCCGTGAGGCGTTAACAACTACTTGACTTTGAAAAGTACCCTTACCTATAGAAACTTTAACAAAAAGAAAAGCAGCTCTCCCTGGAAGACTGCCGTGACCACCAATCCAGTCAGCCTGGGTGTGATGTTTTGAACATGCTGTATGTGGTTTAAGGTGATGACACCGCTCTCAAGTCACAGAAGTGACTGAGATGTATGGTTTATGGCTCCTGGTAGGTTGACCACACTGAACACTCACACGTGCATGCGAACGCGTGCACACACACTAACACACACACAGTGGAGCTAGGGAGATGGGTGGATATGAGAGGAGTCGGGTAGATTAGTTGAGCGATTATCAGAATATATTGAACGAACTTCTCAAATAATTAAAAAACATTTTTTTAATGTAGTCCATTCACTGACCTTAGATGCAGAATTTTGTTGTTGTTGTTTAACTATCTAAGATGGCAGGAGGGACTGTGAATTTGCATCGAGAGAGCCCAGAGTTTGGGGCCAAGTCCAGCACTACTGAATGCAAATCCTTCTGCTTTTTTTCCTTCCCTGTAAAGTGTGTGTGTGTGTGTGTGTGTGTGTGTGTGTAGGGGAGAGGGGAGCAAATGCTGCCTTGCAGGGTTCTTTGGAAAACCAAAGAGACAAGAAGGCAGGGAACACAGGCTTGCCCTACCCCGGTACTCAGTAGTTGCTGTGTTGAAATCTGGCATGTCTCAATTATTTAAGAGCATCCCAGCTGCGCTCACACGCAAACAAGGAGCTCATGAAATATTTCTGTCCTGGAGGGAAGAGCTACTGTTTCTCTGCTCTCCGCTCTCTAAAAGAGAGAGAAATGTGGCTCAGCACGCACACACACACACACACACACACACACACACACACACACACAAGCCACGGAGGGCTCTGGAAGCGAAGAGGGGATCTGATTCTCAGTGGACCTTGGAGACTGAGCACAAGGAAAGGTTCCCAGTTAGCTTTTCCCTGTGCAATGCCATGGATGTTTGTGTCATCTTGGATGCCTGCATTGAAACTTCATCTTCAGGATGAGGGACTCTAGATGGGGCCCATGGAGCCGATTAGGTGACAAGGGCAGAGTTACATGGATTGAATTAATGCTCTTATGACCTAGACCCTGGAGAATGCCTTTGCTTTTGCCCTGCGCACACTTTAAAGCTGTCTGTGAAGCAGTAAGTGGACTGTCGCCAGACCCCAGTCAGTTAGCATCTTGATCTTAGATGCCCTGGATGTCAGGACTGTATGAAATGAACTTCTGTGTTTATAATCCATCCAGGCTATGATGCTTTTTTAGAGCACTTGAACAGACCATGACATGGTGTTCCTGAGGAAGGAACACAGAGGAGGACAGCCAGGGACAAGACCAAAGAGCCTCATTTAGATCTTTGAATCTTCTTTTATTCTTTTTTTTTTACATTCAGTCATTTTAAAACATTTTCTTCTTTCAAAAGCAAATTGTGTTCAGTTGGAGACATTCATACAAGCTGAAAGAAAAAGAAAGTATTTGTGAATCTTAGATGTCACTGAAAACAGTTTGCTGTTCATCCTTTCAAAGTTTCTTTCTATCTGGACATACTCTATTCTCTTATGCAACAAATGAGGTCACCCAGGATGGTACAGAACAACCATTCTGTAAGGGTCTTTATCATTGGACAGCTTTCCATGAGGGAAAGTAAAAGGTACCCAGTGTTTCTCTGGCGGGTAACAACGGTGACAAGCCCCTCATAGGGCCCATTCTGAAATTAAGTTGTTTTTTGTTCCTCGACTTCTAGTGAACAATTTTAGGGTGAAACCTGTCTACAAGCCATCACTATTCCTTGCAGAGAGCTCCACATTCGTTCTCTGCAAGAAAGGGCAGTAAGAAAATATTTAAATCCCAATAGCAATGGGTCTTCAGCAGACGTGGGGAGGGGCTGTAACTTAGCAGGGTGCTTCTCCTGCCTATTCTGTTTGACCTTGACCTTTCCCTTCCCACTCTGTTTGACCTTGTCTGTTGGTTTGTTTTTAGTTCTTCGAGAATTTTGCTCAATTATAATGTTCCCTCTTCTTCCTCTTCTTGCCAACTTCATCTCCCCTTCCCTTCCCAACCAACCTTGTGTCTTTCTTCCCCTCTAGATGGGCCAATTTGTGCTGCCAAATATCCTGGATGTGTGGCCTTGCACTGGAACGTGGTCAGCTTATCAAGGGCCACATCCTTAGAGAAAACTGACTCTCCCTTTCTTAGCAGCTGAGGGTTGCCGGAAGGTCCTCTGTGAGAGGTGGAACTTTATGCTAAATCCCTTCTCTATTTGGGATTCGGTCCTCCAAGCACTGTGTCAAGTGTCATTTCATTTCTTGTTAACAAGCAAAATAACCGAGTGAGATGCAGCCCTTGTTCTCAGCTTGCTTTTTACATAGCCCAGTATCATCTGTTTAAGGATATCACCACCCTACTGTGCTGGGCCCTTCCATATCAGCGATCAATTATTCCTACTTTGCAGAGAAAGTGGGTCGCTCCAGTGTGTATTACCGACTGGCTGTGTTTCCTCCTAAATCCACCGAGGAGATGCCTTCAGTAGATCACCATGACCTCACTGATGGTTTCTTCTTAGGCCACCCTAAATTAGCACAGTTTGACCCTCTGGCATGCGCCACGGGTTCTGCAGTCCATGTCTTCATGAATCCAGCAAAGCCAGGGAACCTTCCAGAAGACTTCAGGAACAATCTCCAGAAACTGATGTGTTCAGCATAGTGTGGATTGCCTAACAGCATACATGGAATTTATGTCATAAAATAAAGTTTAAGTTGTTCCCTGTGCATTTTTTTCTTTTTAATTTCTTAGCATATATTTCTGCCCTTAAAATGGCTGTCAATTCCTTAAATGGTTTTATAGCAGAGTCATCTAAAGTCATAGTGGAATACCTCCAAGGGTCAGTCCTGTAGCCAAGTATTTTACACGCTTTATCGTAGAGAACAGCTGACAGCTATGCAGCGAGGGAAGCACCATTCTAACCCTTTTATGAGACGTGGATAGTGAAGTCTGCAGACAGAAGCCATTTGCCTCTGTGAAACCACCACACTCAAAACTCCCTCTCTCAACCTAGCCACTGATATTCGCTCTATCCACACAGCCCTCAACCTTGAGCAAACCCAGGGCCATGAAGGGGGCCATTTCCACATAATGGCATGCGCTGCCTGCAGGCCAGCTGCTCTGTTAGCTTCTCTATAGCCAATGAAATTGCTTACTTCTTTGCCAGTATCTTACCAGCTAGGTTACCTATTTCCCCATGGTTTGGCTTCATTAATCTAATTTGACTCATATGTCCTTGGCTTTTTCCAGTAAACAAACACCTGATGTTTTCATTCACTTATTTTTGTTTTTGTCAATGTGAACTATAATACTGGGGGAAAAAAATCACCTTTCTTTTTCATATAGCTGGAAAAGAAGGTCTCTAATGATTTCTTTGGGACTGAACGGCTGTGGGACCAGGTAGGGCAGAAACCCGTCAACACTGTCACAGTTGGATTCCTGAATGCTTTTGAAGCAAATAAAGACTCTTAGTTGGCTGTGGAATTGAGTGCCAAAGCCCTGCTACCTAGACTAGTTCTGGAATGCCCTTGCCATGCATGATATACACAAGACCACATGCTAGTCCTTTGTCGTTAAGGCTACTTTGTTTTGCCTAGCTCAATGTTAAGGTTTTAAAAAATACTTCATATAATAATTCTAAAACACGGAGAACTATTTCCCAGCAAACTGGAGTGTCCAGGCATTGATCTCCCTGACTTCTGGCTCTGGACCTACTCACGCGGCCCCTTGGAGGAAACTCTGGTATCGGTGCATCGCTTCATTCCTGGACGGTCTCCCTCTCACGTTGTCTCCTCACGCTACACAACCACTCCCAGGGGTGGGTATTCTTACTCCACTGTACAGCCAGGATAGACTAAAAAGAAAGGTGACCACCTGTAGAGACCATAGATCTTTTGGCTGGCAGAGCTGAAACTTGAGTCCATTTAGGACTTTGGACTCTTCTTTCTCTTTAAATCTATGTGTATATACGTTTGCATGGGAGACGTATCTATGTTCATGTGTGGGTTTGCACTTGAGTATGTGAGTGATCATGTGGAGGCCCAAAGACAACCCTGATCATCATTGCGGGAATGTCATCTAACTCCTTTGGGGCAGTCTCTCATTAGCCTGGGGCTCACTCATTGTGTGCCTGGCTAGTGAGTCTCAGGGATCCACCTGTGTCTGCCTCTCTGGGCTGGGGTTACTAAGTGTGGTGCTCTGAATGAGAATGGCTCCTATTGGCTTACATATTTGAATACTTAGTCACCAGGAAGGGGAACTATTTGTGGCAACTTAAGAGATATATCACTCGGAGTGGTCATTGAAGGTTAAAATACCCACACCAGGCACACTGTTTCTCCTTCTGCCTGCTGCCTGCGGATCATGATGTAAAGCTCTTGCTACTTCTCCACCACGCTTGCCTGCCTGCTGCCATGTTCCCCATTATGATGATCATGGACTAATCCTCCTAAGCAAGCCCCCAATTAAAGGTTCTCTTCTATACGTTGCCTTAGTCATGGTGTCTCTTCACAGCAATAGAACAGTAACGAAGACACATGCCCATATCCATCACCAGGCAGTTTTGAAAGGTTTGGATTCAGGTTCTTGTGTTCCTGAGGCAAACCCTTTAATGATTGAGCCGTCTCCCTAGCCCTGCACCCATCTTTCTGTCACACCGACTCTTCAGCTCATCACAGTGGTCCTGAGTTTCTACACCGCACCATGCTCTGCCACCAGTTTGTAAACAGTGACTGTAGTGTCTTTCATTGAGAGGGTCTTAGGTCAGAGTTGATGCGGTACAATGGCTAAGGGAACCCTTAGCAAGACCTGGACTTATATCCTGAATCTGCCTCTTATGCAGGAAAACAGCATGTTCTAAGTAACAGTCCTGACTGTCCTAGTGTCGTGACAGACACCCCCCCCCTCTCAACACGTACGATCAACAGGATGGGAACAAAAATGAAGAAGCAGGCTATCAGTAGCTCCACCATGACTCTTCCTATCAACAGCATCGTGTAGGCTGTGCTTGCTTGTTCTTTTATCACAAGATACATAATCTGGATCATTTATAAAGAATTCTCAGTGTTCTGGAGGCTGAGAAACCCAGGACCAAGGCACTGGCTGCTATGCTATCGATGGGTCTTCTGCTTCCACAGCGGTATCAAGTGTCCTCACATCATAAGAGTTGGTGGTCAAAGGTGACTGGCTGGTTCCCTTTTACCTTGTCTCTACAGGCATCGATCCTTTGACTTAACCATCCTCTACAGAGCATTTAATAACATCATATTAGGTCTTCAGTTTCGATGTATGAATTTTAGGAGGGCACAAGAGAACCACAGCAGCCTGGGAGGAGACCCTGCTGGCTAATTCTGCCCATTGTTTGGAAGCTCTACTTGGGAAGTGCTCTGAGGTCATCCGGGCATGAATTCTGAGTCCTGTGGAGACTTGGAATGGGGCCTCAAAGAGCAGTATTGACCCCGAGTTAACAAAATCCCTTTGGCCCCTGGGCTTCTCCAGACCAGAGCAAAAATGGAGTGGACCTGTCTCAACCCAGAGCGAGCAGAAAAAGTGGCTCAGGATTTGGAGAGCTGTTGGAAAAAGTGTCCCAACATGGGCACTTAGCAGTCACCTCTTTAATGAGCTGTGAGACTCGAGGCACCACTCCCCTTTGTGATTCCCTAATTTGCGAAATGGGGACAACAGTTACACGGTGATCACAGTCCCTGCTCACCATGGTTTGGCAGCAGGATTTCCTTTCCCTGGTACCTGGTAGACAACAAGCAGCATTTTCTTCAGGGGAACTAAAATGCTGTATGTGTCCATTACACTCCTTCAAGGCAGAAAAATATACGACGGTTATATTTCTCTTCCATATTTCTGTAGTGAACCAGACATCATTTTCTACTTTATGTGAGGAAAATTACAATGATGAATAAGAAATAAGGGATGATGAGACGCATTTGACCTAGCGAATCCCCTGGAACTCACCAAAATTGAGAGCCCAGATAGTTTCTTCGGAAATAGCCCCAAGATTGGGTAAATTCCAGGAAGCGTGCTGACACACGCTTTCCAGCATGAGCCAAGGCCACTCACTGGCTTTCAGTGGGCAATCCTAGCACTCCAAACTCATTTCAAGGCTGCAGACAGAGCCAACTCTCAATTGCATGTTCGTGGAAGTAGCTAGGCTGTTATTATAAAGGTGACTAGAAAAACCCAGAGTCTTCCAAAGAAATCGCTGGCCGTTCGCTGCTTCACAAGACAGGGTAGCTGAGCCCCATGCGGCTCTTGTTACCGTGCACTTCTGAGCAGGTGCGACTCCTGTGCTTGCTAACAAGAGACCAAGCGCATAATCCCAGCAGGTGAAGAAAAGCCACAGACAGCGCAGCTTCTCCAAGTGCCTTTCGTTACACTCGAGTTCATCCGGAAACCTACAGTAAGAGACGAGGTACAGAATGTGTGTTCATGTTCTGCTTGGACAGGATATGGCTCCTAGCAATTAATGCTTTCAGTCACATTAGGCATTAAATAATGCCTTGTGACATTACAGTATTGCCCATTACAAGTCAATTTTGTAGTGTTTGTTCATAATAAGACTTGAAATGTTACCTAGAAACAAAATATGTTTTCCTTGAAACAGTCAGACCTTATTAGAAATCCGGGGTTTTACAAATCACCATGTTAACAGTTATGTCCCCTGGCTAAGGTTTTCTTTCTTTAAATAGTGTTAAATTCAGCCTCAGATGCTCAAGTCTCTGAGTATTAGTCTTCTGGTGTGCACTGGCTTGAAAGGAAAAACTTAACGCTCCAGATGCACCTAGTGCCCTACTATGCACAACCTAATAAGTCAAGCCGGATTCCATTTGCAGGGGGAAAATAATGAGGGCTTTGCAAAACTGTTATGACTGTATTTAGGCTGCACAATGTTACTTTATCATTTTGCTAAAGTTGGGGTCTCTAACCCTTTAAAAGAAAACAGGCACCAACTATAGGGCATGCTGATACACAGCACTGTAGGAGAGTGGGACAGGCAGGTCACAGACTGAACTCAGGGTCAGCCTGGGCAGCACAGAGAGGCATGGCTTTAAAGAAATACCAGGAAGAAAGGGAGGGAAGGAGAAAGAGAAAAAAAGTGGGAGAGAGGGAGGGAAGGTGGGAGGAAGGGAGGGAGGAAGAGAGGAAGGGAGGGAGAGAGAGAGAAGGGGGAAGGAAGGTAAGTGTGTTGAATAGTTTTATGTCAACTTGCCAACAAGCTAGTCATCTGGGAAGAAAGAGGGAATCTCAGCTGAGAAAATGCCCCAACAGACAGGCCTGGGCTGCATCGTTTTGGCTGGTGGTTGGTGTGGAGGGCCTAGCTCACAGTGGACAATACCATCTCTGAGCTGTGGTCCTCGGTGCTATAAGAAAGCAGGCTGAGCGAGCCAAAGGAGAGCAAGTCTGTAAGCAGCTCCCCTCCATGGCCTGTGCATCAGCTCCTGCCTCCAGGGTCCTGCTCTGCTTGAGTTCCTGTCCTGACTTCCCTCAGGGACAGACTGTGATCTGGAAGTATAAAATGAAGCACACCCTTTCCTCCCCAAATAGCTTTTTGGTGACTGTGTTTTGCCACAGCAATAGAAGCCCTAAGACAGAAGGGAAAGGAAGAAAGAAGAGGGAGGGAACAAGAGAGAGAAGGGAGGGGAGAGAAAGTCAGCGGGAGAAACAGCCTATTTCTAGCTCGGAGGAATTAGAAGATTCTAGCCACACAATCCCATACCAGTGGGGAGCAAAGACAAAGAAAATACATGAGAGCCAGAGCCAGCACAGTGCGACTTACTGCTAACTCGCTGAGATTTCTGGCGCTTGGATTTTAGTTTGGTCCCGACAATGTCTGGCATGCAGACTCCACTATTTCAGGTCCTCGGAAGCAGATGAGACAGACCCACTGTCTGTCTCGACGGGCTTCATGTTTGAGCTTGGGTGGGACTGTGCGAGCAAAATAATATCTAATGGCACAGTAAGTAGGGTATCCCCACCCCCCAAACCCTAGAGCCTGTGTATGTGACCTTATATGGAAGAATCTCAAGATGATCCAAAGAGAAATATCCTTGTAATGGACATATCACCAAGGAAGATGGCCAGAGAAGAGAGGAAGTCTGTTTGCAGACACAGAGACACGACTGAGTCACAAGCTACAGAACCCCGAGTCACTGAAGCTGGAAGGAATGGAAGAGTCTGTCCTGGGCCTTTGGAAGGCACTGTGTGCGCACATGTTCATGCACACATGAGTGTGGCGGTGAGAGGACAGCCTCCACGGCTGTTCCTTGGGCACCATGTGAGAGATTCTCTCATTTGGGACCCACCGAGTAGGCTCTGCTGGCTGCTGGCAAGCCTGGAGTCTGCTTCCTCACATGAAGAGCATGCCAGCCTGAAACGGCAAACATGGGTTCTAGGGCGAACTCAGGCTCAAGCTCTATCAACCGAGTCAACTCCCTACTTGCCTGCTGACTCTTTCAACTCTGACTCTGGCCTCCAGCACCATGAGGGTTGAGTTTCCAGCCCAGCTAGCAACCTCTGTCGCGGTAATCTGGACTACAGGAAACCCATGAAAGATTATAATGCACGCCAAGACATGAATCATAATAGGACATGGTAGAGACCCAGTTGGGGCTTTAAATGTGGAGTCTGAGAAGCCTCACTGAGGGGGACCATGCTCGTTGCCCGGGGATGTGGGAGATGGGGGTGTGGCGGGGGGCACGTCTTGAATCTGAGGGGTAGCAGGTACAAAGAGCCTGGTCTAGGAAGGACCTTGGAGCTGTGACATGTTATTCTCAGAGTCTCCATCTTCATAAGATGAGCCGTGCCTACTTGGGAGAGTCCGTGATGATTCCAGGAAGGAGGGGGCAAAGAGGGTCAGAGGGCTCTGACCTGAGTATCCATCCGGCTGCTCTTCCCGGTCACGTGTAAGCAATTCTGTCCTAACTGCAACGTGGCTATGGGGTTTAGGTCTCTGTGGCTGTGAGGAAGCTCTGTAGACCCTGCTGGGTAAAGGTTTCGCAGCATGGCTGCTTTAGGATCATCCACGTTCCTGTCAGCACCCTTTCATCCAGACTCTGTATGCAAGTTCAGCAGGCTTTTTGCTTCCCCAGGTGAACTCCGGTGGAACTGCACTTTGGTTCCTCATTAGGACATTGTTCATACCACACCCGGGGAGGGAATCTTAGCAACAAGGAATTGTGTCTGAGGACAACCAAGGCAGTGGAGCTGGAGGATGGAGCGGAGGGTGGGGAAAGATGGGGGAGGGGAGGGGAGAGAAGGGACAGTTCTCAGAGGGAGGCAGGGCTGGATCCTGTCAGGCAGGCCTCACAGGCAATAGTGAGAGGTCCGGATTTTCCAGTTAAAACCTGTCTCAGAAAGATCCTACTGTGAAAATGACATTGAGTGCCTAACTGTAGGGAAGAACAAGAAATACAGTGATGAAACCAGCAACTGCAGATATATTTTGAATCGATGGCTTCATCAATTTCAGTCTGATTCATGTACTCCTTTTATTGTTTAATTTGAGAGGGACAATGAAACCACACTTTCTGTGAAGTCAAACAGCATGAGACACATGGGGAAATCCTCAAGGGTAGCTTTTACTCTGTCCACCCAGGTTATGAGGTGGAATTTCATCTGTAAAATGGTTACTCCAGATGGTTTGGCCATTGGCTTAGATTATTGCCTCGTCCTGTTTCCTTGGCATAAGCTGTGCGGGAACAAACAAGGCACATTACTGCATCTGGATTCCCTTAGACTCCACAGCCTCACACCCAGGAGAGAAAGGTATGTCTATTCCCCACTTCAAAAACCAGACCCACTCGTTAACATGGAAAACAATTTCTCAAGTATATTTAAAGTGTTGACTACGGTCATACAGTTTTCAAACTCCTGGCATTCATCTTTTCCCCGTCTCTCAATTCCTGTCTTGTTCACATTATCTTTTTTTTGATTGCTTCTTAGTATAAAAACAAACACACCAAAGATGTGGGGCCACTGTACACACTAGCAGGCCCATACAGAAAACACACAAAAGTTTATATGCCATTTACAGTAACAGCTCAAGATAGAAAGGCTTTGAAATACCATGCTTGCTCCAAGGTTAGCCGACCCAGGGCAACACAACGTGTACTCCTTCAGCATTTTCCTTCGCCACTGTTTAACAGCGGCAGCTAAAAGGCCCCAAAACTAATCATCCGAATACACAGCAGTCAGTACACAGTCTGTACAGTGTGCCCCCCCCACACCAGTAACAGCACCCTTTCACATTCCCGTCCCCGTTCCTTTAAACTTAGGTGGGGGGAGGTCAGACTTGAAAGTCATGTCGTAGCAATGTATCCCCTCAGAGAACTGCAGTTGCTTCAGGGAAGAGCCTACTGGAATAAACAGCGATGGCTATTTTCCAGTAAATATGGAATGAAAACTAATGTTTACCCCAATCTGAGGTGTAATCTCATTGTTTAGGGACACAACTGCTGTACACCGGACAACTGCAGCCACCACCCCGAACACCTGAAGAATGCCCCTGACGGTCGGCCACGTCAGGATGAGCGCCTTTCAAAGTTCATCGTGATTTTTTGTGAGGTCTTCCCCGTAATTGGTCGCTTGGCTTCCCACAAACATGTTCCAGTTGTCTAGAATCTCCTCCTTGGTTAGCTTCTCATCCTGCTCGAAGACAGAGAGCTGTCAGGGGGTGCTGGGAGCTCTACCGCTTAGCATCCCGCCCACTCTGCCTCACGGATCTGCAGTGTTACAAACAGCACATCTAATAGCCAGCAGCCAGCGTGTGGGTGTATCTCCCGCGACTGCCACACAACTCCAAGCTGGAAGGAACTCTCGCTGTCTCCAAAGGCCGTGCTACAGTGCCTCATGTGGGTGTCTAAGAATTAAGAAGACAGACTCTACACGCAATGCAGGCATTCCTGAACAGGCCAGAGGGATCTACTTCTCCTTCACGGCCCCACTGTGTAACACGTAGGGCTGCAAAGCTCAGTGTTTGGGACAAGCATCAGGGTCAGATGAGGCAAGAGTTTTGTCTTAATCTTATCTCCTTGCTTGGACTCTAACACATTATTAGTACTACAGTACTCGGGAGGGAACCCAGAGCCTGACTCAGGACATTCCCAGCCCCTAATGACTTAGATACCTATTAGTGGATATGGAAATACTGATAATCCTTAGAGCTCCTGCCGGCGAGCAAGCAAACAGTCATCTGACTTCCAATGGGATGGACTCCCTATGCCAGGCATATCATGGAAGTTTGATAAATATCTGAACTTAGATGAAGGAAGGAGTAAGCCTGTCTCAGGTCATACTGGGTTCATTTCTTAAATCCATGCCGACTACATCAAAGATGTTCATGCTTTACCATCACACCCTAGAGGCCGTGACTTAGTAATTTAGTCAATGGCCCAGCAATAATAATGCCTACAGTAGCCATCACGGTACAGGCGTAATGAACAGGCGTGTACAGGCACATGGCCAAATGGAACCAACGCTATCACTAACAAGGCAAACAACCCCAATCTTGAACAAACTGCTTCCTGCCAATCAATGGCTCTGAACATGGAAGCTACCTTGTTTTTGTCCGACTCGTAAACCAGGTGCCGGGCCTCGGCTTGTGCGTGGTCGTAGTCCTGTGGGAGGATCCAGTGGCGAATCTCGTCCTTGTCCAGCTTCCCATCCTTGTTCAGGTCTCGGAAGTCATTGAACTGCTCCCGTTCCGACAAAACCCAGTCCGGCTCAGGGCCGTTGTCCTCGTGGGAAAACATGTCCGCTAGAAGGCAAAGTTGTTCGCAGTTACAGAAGACAAAAAACTTGACCCCTGAGTTTTTGGAAAGGTGACCATCCACGGAGATAGATCACAGTGCAGAGCTGGGGAGGGGCCGCTGATCTACATACTACAGACACCACAAGGTGCCACAGGAAGACTTGGTTAGAAGCCAGAAATGAGCCTCGGGGTCTCTTAGTTCAGTGTCTGAGCCCAAAGCTTGTAAAATGAAGATGATAATCCCTAAATCATGTTTATGCAGATCAGAGGCCTACTTCTGGGAGAACCTCTATTCCAACTGGCACCATAATATATTAGCTGCTCTGAGCTTCACTCTATCCTGCAGGAATGGGTGCTGTTTGTCCTCGGGTAACAGATGAGAAGGCTGAGGCAGACAGGAATTCTGGAACTCTCAAGTCACACAGTCAGTGGGTGGGAAAGCCAGGACTCCTAACCCCAGAGCCCTTTTTAGTACGCCATCCTAGGAAATCCTTGGCTTGTCTAAAGCTAGAACACCCTAGAAATCAGGTCCCTAACCTGACAAGTTCGTACATGAAGTCTTTCTCACTATTGGCTGCTGAAATTTGATTCTCATGAATAATACCTTCCTCTCCTCTCTACACATGGTACACAATGAAATGTTTCTTTTGGTCAAAGCCACTCAGAATTCTGTCCCTGTCAGGCACCAATTCAATGCAGAGTTCAGGAAGACCATAAAAGAGAGTACACTGTGAGTCAAAAGCACCACATTGATTGTTTTTATCAGGGAGCCTTTCCCTCTGTCTAACTCACTCACTGCTGTCATGGTGACAGGTGAGAGGCTCTGAATCTCCCCTCCCTTATGGGTCTCTTAAAAGGAAGGCTCCACTCCGGCGCTTGCACTGATGAGGCCACCAATAGCATTATTACTATGCAAAGCCTTTAATTACAGAGGCAGAGGGTTACCTGGCCATTCCCCACGACAGACGGGAAGTGTTTGGTTCTAGGGCCATGTATGACTTTTCCCAGCGAGCATCACCAAAGATGCCTGTCCTTATGTGTGGGGACAAAATCATACAACCACAAACCATACAACGAGGCAACTTGGGCTCAGTATAATTTAAAGACAACGGTTAAAATACATTCACACAAAGTTTCCCATCTCTTCCCAGAAGTCAAGTGATTTCCCCCCAGCCTTCACTGCAGACAGGAAAAGAAGGGCTCTTACAAGATGGCAG